TTGACAGTTTAAACATACACTTTCTCCAGAGCTTTGTTCAACACAACTGGAGAAACAAATAGAAAATCAGTCATGTGTGACGCGATGAAACAGTTTATAACACTAGCACCAGCACCAAATTATGCATACTGGGTGTTGACCAATCGGTTACCGCCATAGAGATTTCTAATTCAATCAGATCCTATGCTGCATGAACCCGGTAATCAGTGGCCTCCACCAGTATATATACACATTTAAACAGGTTGTGTGCCACTTGAAAATCATATTTTTTTTTATATCTCTTGTTTTTAAGAATATGGTCTTCGGGATCACACTGACAACACCACCTTTCTGAATTTATTCAATCTGAGGATGAAGAGCAAAGTGTCTTTAAGCATTGCCATGGACGTATCAGGGAGTATGTCTAATGACATTGCAGCTGCAAAAGCAAGATGTTATGAAATTATAGATGAACGAGTTGGGACTGTGAATGAACCTGCAGAATATGTACTTGTTCCATTCAGTGACCCAGGTGATATTACTATACAAATGAACCTATTTGTGTACGGCTACACTTAGAGTAACATTGTTTAATAATATTTATTGTACCCTGTATCCAATGCTCACTTTTGATATTATATCTGTATATTACAATTTGGCTAGAAACAACATTCGTGTTAATATATACAAACTGAAAGGCACATTTTGCACAAATGCTGCATTGCAAGATCTCCCACAGTTCTAAATGACATATCGTGTTCCCTTTATTCGCATTGCATAGTCCCTGTATGTTATCAAGTTTGGAAAATATATAAAGTGTGAACACGAACGGTCAAAGTGTGATATAGCACCACAAAACATTCCTCGAAACAAAATAGCCACCAGTCGGGCATTTTGAATTAGATTTGAAAACATGTCCAATTTATGTACCAGGTTTGAACGAAATCCATCTACCAGGACCCAGTCCGGAATATTATAAATGCTTGATTATAACACTAAAATGGCGCCACATGGTGAATGATGTAGATATAGCCTGAACATGGTCAGTCTAGAGATGTCGGAGATATATCTCTGGAACTACATTCATTAAAAGAAAAAAAGGCCACTAGTCAGTCATTTTGAATCTGATGTGAACAATTATAAATAAATGACGTCCCATAAGGTTTGGTGGTTGTATCTAGTTTGAACAAAATCCATGCATACAGCTGTACATAGGACTGACAGAAAATGACGCATTGAGCAAGCTTGGATATAAGGGCTTCATGCATGACTGACGGACAAACTGTCACTTTTATTTTTGGTGACCAATTTCACCAAGATGTATGCTTAGGATATGTAGTTTAATTTCATAACTCGAAATCTACGATACACATGGAGTTATTTTTTGAACTAAAAAAAGCACTAAACAACCAACAAGGTCCAGAGTTTTGGCTAGCTGTTTCGACTACATAATAGCAACAGTATAGTTCAGTGCTTTCAAGTTTGTCGGCTTTGTGCAGCGAATCATCTCTAATTTGTGAACCAATCGAAAAAACCTTTTAACCCTTTTTGCTCACGAAGGTATTTCACTCTCGTCGCTGCATATACTTTGCACGTGTTTTGCGGGGAAACTTGACTTTCAAAACTGCATTTAGGATTTGTTTCACTTTTCGATTTATTCCATTAAGGGAATTTTATGACTATTTGTGAACCGAATATTTATGTGGGTTAGATTGAATTCCATTTCACCAGAAACGTATTGTTGTTTTGTTTTGTTTTTAGTGTGTGCTGTTTTTGTTTGCGAGTCATACTACGACCAATTAAATAGATATTCCATACATAATTCTTAAAAGTGATGGTACTTTTTGGAGGGATTATTGAACATAAAAATACAAACAACCTGTTCAAAGAAAACTATCGTTTGTTGCATTGGAAACAGTTTCAACAGTCTTGGGGCTAGAGAGTTCTTGCAGTGCTGTCATTTATAAAATATTTGAAAATGTTTTTTTGGGTCGATAGATATTTGTGTAATATGTATTCATAACTAAATATATTTTGTGTGTTTAAGGTTTTGGTCCTGTGCAGGTTACAGAGAATCCTAATGAATATAAAGACTGGATTGAAGCTCTTGTTGCTTATGATGGAGGTGATTGTCCGGAATTATCTCACAGCGGAACTGAGCTAGCAATAAACTATACTAGGTAACATCGTACTGATGACTTTACTATTGATGCATATTGGTATCAATTGTTGTGGCAGTCAGATGTCTTACAATAAAGGCCAACATAGAATGACAAGCTGCCTTGACATATTTTGTTTGTGCATTTTGTCAAAATTCCATTCAAAGTGAAAACTACCTATACATTCCTAAAATAAGAGTAAGATAAAAAATAAGTATAAGAATTTTTTATATACAAATATATGGTTGAAAATAAATAATTAACTGTTTAATAAAGTAGAAAATTAAAAATGGTAACGGAATTCATTACCAAATTATGGAAAGTTGACATTATTTTCTATGACACGTTCTTGAATTTGCATATTTTAAATTATTGACTCACACAGTTCGCGAGATTTAAAGATGTCAACATTTAAATGTCCACCTATTTTTTCAAAATTCTGTTGTAGGCCAGGTAGTCAAATAAAATATTGTTACCATAATTTAATTTTACATCATCTTCTCACAAATTGTCTTTGCCATCGTGCGCTTATATCTGTATTGTCCTGGTTTGTGGACATACAATTTTTGGTTTGATTATATTTTCTTACATTTTATATTTGAACAATCGGTTAATCGATATACTTCTATTAAAAATTGTTATTTCTAGCTATCCTGGTTCCACTGTGTTTGTGTTCACCGATGCTGATGCTAAAGATTTGTGGAAAGAGCAAGATGTTCGTGATTTAGCACTAGAGCGTGGTGTTATTGTCAGCTATTTGCTTACAGGAACATGTGGGGGTACCCGTCGTGCCAGAAGCACCCAAGGTGGACCAGGTAACTATGCTAGTGCAAATAGCAAACATAAACATAATAAACATTATTAAATACCAGAATCTGTGAAAATGCACCATTCGTTAAGTAGTAATATACACATTAATTTAAATATTTATCTTTGTCTATTTCTGAACAAAAGCATACGACAACGTGTCATAGCAAACTACGAATATTATTGTTTGGCCGGAAACGCACTGTTCTACCCCCAGTAAATTAAGTGTGACTGAATCTGAATATTAAACTCTCTCTATATATAATCTTTTTTCAGGCTTCAACAATCATAGAAGAATGAAGAGAACGTTAAGTTCTTATGAAAACATCGCTCAAGCTACTGGAGGTGTGGTAATTCAAGTCTCAAAATGGGAACTCTTTAATGTAACGGAACTTATTGATTCAGCATTTGATGGTGCAATAGTCTGTATTTCGAACTCCGAAGTTGTTGGCGTGAGGAATGTTACATTCAATGTAGATTCTACAATAACAACATTGGACATTTCTGCGACTACCAAGGATTCGGGTGGCTTATTAGAATTCAAAATTGAAGATCCATCGGGTATGCTAAGTATGAGAGTTGTTTTTCATCAACTCTTGAGCATTTATCACCAACTATGATTGATTGCGTCCCGGATGCGTTGCTGTTGCGTTGGTTGCCACTTAATGTTAATAAATTGTACCAGTTACGTTTTGAACGAACGAATGTATGCATAAAACGTACTTATATCATATATTTATTCATCTTATGTCACGTTTCTCCAGATTGATTGCGTCCCGGATGCGTTGCTGTTGCGTTGGTTGCCACTTAATGTTAATAAATTGTACCAGTTACGTTTTGAACGAACGAATGTATGCATAAAACGTACTTATCTCATATATTTATTCATCTTATGTCACGTTTCTCCAGATGCATTACATTACATTACATGACAGTGTGTTTTTGAAACATCTCAATTAAATGTATCTTAATATTATTTCTCGTAAATAATTAAAAAAATAATATAATTAAGAAAACGCACATACACATAGTGTAATTAACATAACTAGGGATTAAGTATAAGAATGGAGCGCCTATTTTTTTAAATAGTGGAAACGTCAAACGTTCAATCTGAAAACCAACACTTCTAGTATATATTAATGTAGTTAGTGAGATTTAGATTGACCATTCACAAGAACCACAGATCATGCATTCAATACAAATAACAAATAACTAACAATAACACTTCATTCATTCTAGGTAATACGTTCAATGGGTATACAACCGTCGTTCACACATCATCTAACCTTATTTTAGCACACAACTCACCCGCATACGGTCAATGGACTTTATTATTTCTGGATGACCGCAGTCGAAGTGTTGTAATAAATGCCACCAGTGCAATTGATTTTATTCATCGTTTTTATATGGAAGGTGATCGTGGTGAACTCATCCCAATGTATGGAACTCCTGCTAAAGGTAAAGTGAACGTGTTGGAAACTAATTATTTAACCTCACACGAACATTGAAAACAGAGTATTGAAAAACAGAATATATGTATTCATTGACATCATATTTACATTTATCAGATCAAAGTCGATACTTCCCTGATCACGGTCCATGTTTACATAATTCATTCTTGTATTGGTTTTACTAGGGAAAAATGTAACTATCATCATCACAATGGTTGGACAGGAATATGTTTCTAATGTAACTGATCTATATTTAACAAGTCATAATGGAACTCAGCTTCGACGTGTGTCCCTGAATGCAGTTGACACGAATTCGTACTCTGCATCGACTTCCGTCCCATCACAGGTATGCAACAACTTTGTACTAATTCTGTGACGGTTATTAAAAATATGAGCATATCTCACGGGTACTCGTCAGTATCAGATTTATTGAATGAGTGAGGTTATTTTTACTTGTTCCTTGACAAAGATTCGCAATAGGCTAGGAAAAAACTGCACCAACATAGGTTCACATACTCAATAACCTGTTTATCTCGTATATCCGTTTTGCAGCTTCTTAAAATAAAAACTAGCCTTACTCATTTGCATAAATTATCGCCGTTTATGTGCTTTTATAGGATTTCAGTCTGATCGTGCACGGCATGGATGTGAATTCAAATACATTCTATAGAACTAAGACTATTGCAGTTCAGGTTACGGATGTCAGTTTGAATATCCACGGTGGATTGCAATGTAAGTGCATTGATATAATGTCACACTCATTATGACTTGCCGACTGCTCATATTAACGCACAAAAGCCAGTACCTTACTTACAACATAGAAATAAATTTCCTATTCATATCTATGTAAACAATTTTAAATGCTTTGTTTAGGAGAATTGAAACTTATTTTAGAATATCATGTGGTCGATCCTTGTTTAACAACACGTGTAATTTCATTGTAGCCAGAAATAACCCCTTTAACTTGTTGTGTATCATGTCTGGTTATCCGAACAATTGCTCTTGAAATCTACTTGGATATTGGGAAAGGTATAACGCTCGAGTAAATATGTAACCATTGATAACGAATGCATATACTTTGTATATATCTCATGTCTTGTAGATTATCTGGACACTAATGGTACCGCGATTTTCATAAAGTTCACTGTGGAGAACAATGGTGACAATCCAGATAACTATACGCTCTCTTGCTCCGATGAGTTAGGTTTTGTTCGGGAGTTAATGATTAGTGACGTCACTGTAGGTAATAATGATTTTGTAGATGGATATATACTGGTAGCTGCAGATGATGGTACTGACGAAGGCACTGTAAGGTATACATCCAAGCATCGTACAAAATGAAATCGCGAATAATATTCATACTGGAAAAACAACGAGATGATTAAGAAACATTAGTTTGGCATTTATAACTAATATTTTTTTTCATTTTAGTGTCGTAATGCTCACAGTAACAGGAATGGCTGATTCAACAGACAGTGTCGAGTTAAAGTTGTTTGTGATAGATTACATAGCAGAGTTGCGAGAAGATAAAGAAGATGGTACGTCTACTCCAGCACCTACTCCGCCGCCTACATTTATAGTGACTACACCGGATATTGTTTCTACCGTATCTATTGTCTCTACTCCAGATATTGTGTCTACCCCAGACAGTATGTCTTCTACAGTTAATGGGCTTACCCCAATTAGCGTGTCTGCTCCGGTGAGTACAATCCAAACCACATATCAGAATTACACTGTTTCAATAATTCCATCGATATATCTGTTCCACTGGTATTTCAAGAACCAAGATCTTAATGAAACTTGGTACGTAGATGCTATCGAATAATGCTCTGTTTTAGGCAATTAATCACCAAATTTGCATATTAATTAGCCAGATTTCACTTGTTTCTTGAGAACCTTTAAACAGATTTAAATGGAACTCAATACATATATGCTTTTGGACAATGCGCAGAACTGATTAGTTTTTAGTTGAAATTCGAGCATATAAATCAGATAATTTGCATACTAATTAGCCAATGTTTTCACTTCAATTTTCACTTGTATTGTACTTATTTAAATGAAAACATGGTACATGGATACTCTGGGATAGTTTTTGATTGACATTGATATTGATAGCTTAACATTAATTATCTAATATTTAACTTTTCAACCAATATCTCAACTACTTATCAGATACAATGAAACTTTGTGTATATATGCTCTGGCATAAGCCATATACATGTTGTTGTGTAATTACTGAATACCTAATTTGCTTAACCAATGTATAAGTGATCTGCGTGTAACTCGAGTACCACTCATCAAATTTTAATGACACGAGGTACATATA